TTCCATTGAAGAATGTGTCCAGCACCAGAAGCTGCGTTGGTTGGGACATGTGTTACGTATGCCGAACCATCGTTTGCCGAAGAGAGTGCTGTTTTCCATGTCCAATTCAGAGTGGCGTAAACAGAGAGGTGGCCAACCTTTGACTTGGCAGAGGAGTATGAAGGAGATCACGAAACGCTTGGGTGTTGTCGGTGCTACTCGCCTTCCAGGATGGGGACCGCGTGATCCTCACTGCCTGGTTGGAGACACTATAAGATATGGCTGCCAACCGATGTCAGTGGCGTTCTTGTTGTCAGTTTCTATCAAGATTGCCTGAGTGAATGTCTGGAGGTGTAGGCACCTCGGAATGATTGTGTTAAGCTAGCATTAAGTCCATACCCCGTCCACCTTTACTCTTTTCTTTACAATAAGGCTTTCAAATAAGTCATGGTTGTACGGCAGTGAGGCATCGGTGTTGAACACTGATGTCATGCTGTCGATGGTGATGATGGTGACCGGCCTCCACTCATTTGGATCCTACAGCTGATGAAGGGTGGATCAGGAACCCCTATGCCCTCGGAGGACTATCACGGTATATGCACCCTCAAGTGTCATCAAGTATCTCGTCCGGATGACCTTTCACGTGCTTTGTTCAAGGACGGGGTGAAGTCCCCAGTCAGCGCTTGTCTGATTTCTTTGCCTGCATCTGGGAGAAGGATAATGTCGTAGGCAGGTGGTGACAGTATCCATTATCAAAAAGGGCCTTTCTCCATCCCAAGTTTGCTTTCGACTCCACTGACCATGCCTGGCAATGAAATGTATCTCTTCTAGATTATTTCATCTTATGAAGGCTCCAATATACTTCCTTCAGTGCGGGTGCGTCTGAGACAAGTTCTCCAATGACATCACCACATCCAATGGCGCAAGTCGACTGTCCTTTATCGTCCTTTCTAGTCAACCTAGCGACATATGTGCTGCCTAACTTTTCTTTACCTGGATGGAGATGAACCGGGAGAAGTAATAATACGACTTGTCAACGAGGCATGATCATGCCTCTCGTGAGCCCCCACCAGCCAGTTCAGTTGCATTGGTAGCTGCTGAATTGGTACCAGCTGGGGACCCCAGGACATAAAAAAAACTACTGATTAGCGATCACTATGCACGTGGTCGTGTCACGCAGCCAATGACGCTCTTGTACCAACCCTGTCATAGAGGACAGGGTTTTGTTTGATGCCATTGGACCCATTGGGCCCTCACCCCTAGCGCATGGTACGGTCCCTTGTCCTTAACCCCAGTGAGTGAATTTGAGGCATCTGGAACCACTGCACTTTGGGGGACGGATTGTGAGCTAAAAGACCGGCCTCCATTAACCGAATAGGCCTGTTGGTCACATTTCCTATGCTGCACACTGACTAACCGTTCCACCCACTGTGATACAATATAGGGCACATGAGCTTGAGTTAACCCCTTATGAAAACAACACAAGCTTGTTGTAGCTTTATTTATATAGCGATTAAACATCAATTTACGAGGCTAAGCTAAGGCTCAGCCGGGCGATAGGTACCGAGTTGAACTGCTCGACTCTGATTGGTTCATGTTCTGTCCAATCAAGGCATGAATTCTTTCGAGCCGCACCGGTCCGTGACACATCGAATCGCCGCTAACTAGAAGCACATCCAAATCATTTTCGCCGAAACTGTAGGCTTTTCGAAGTTGTGACTTCAATGAGGAGTTATTCTAATCCATTTGCATCTTTCGGTGATTTTTCGCTCATAGCGTTTTGTTCTAGTGAGCGAAATCTCAAGGCCATTGACCGCCACCGATTCCCATATTTCATCGGTTTACTGGAGAGAGAACACGAAATCGCACTTTGGCCTATTTTGACCTTCTTCGGTGCTGTTTTGGAACGAAGAAACATCTGCGGAATATCCCACGTAAATTCCACCAAGGAAAATCGGTCAGTGACAATCGTTTGCTTTATACTCCTCAGACTTCGCAAATGATATAATTTTGTTCAGCTAACTTCATCACGACAAATTTTCCGATGGAGCTCATCTTCCAATAAGTAAGACGCTGTTAGACGACTGCAGGAATTTCGTAGAGGCAATTCGAAGGACACCTCTGTAGATAAGCATAAATAGACAGTGAACAATGCAGCGCCATGAGATGGCTGCAGGTAGAATACCAATACGGTGATATAATTCGTATTAGGAATATTACGCTCCATAAGTGAAATAGATCTCAAAGCTGGCGCAAATAACGCCGTCAATTTCCGGTGGCCATGATAACGAAAGCCCTTTTCTAGTTAGAGAAAGTAGACTTATCGTAACTGTTGGGTCCGCGTCCATGTGCGACGCTGACGGACGTCATACTCATAACTGTACAAGATGTCGCTTATATTTGCTACTTATAGTAAACGCCGGGTTAGTATATATGCGTGCCGGCAAAAATGAGGTGTCAGTTATTCGTGATAGTCTGAGGGCCTGTTCCACCCCTGACTGTACTCGATGTCGCTTAACTTGGCTATTTATTCTACCCGTTCGGTCCGCGTCCATGTGCAGCGTTGAGTGTGAACCGCTGATTATGCGCGGTAACCGAATCAAACCTAATCCATCATACTCACGATGTACGTGGCTTCACTCTCCTTAATAGTAATATCGATAACAATGTTCATATTTATACCGAACTTGTCGGTGGCAGACCGTCAGGCATGATCATGCGTTTACATTCAGAATAAAGCATGACTGGGCGTTGCGGGTACTAAAGAGTGTGCGAATAAGAGGACAATGTCGTAAACAGAGCGCAACATCTGATGAAAATAATAATAATAGATTCTTTTACCCACTTGTGGGGAGCATACTGACGGGAGCATGATGGAGTCGTTACAACCTGAACGCGGCAGGCAACAACACAAGGGGAGGAAGGTACAGCTAACAAGCCATGCCTATTACATGAAAAGTTATCTCAATTGCTGGAACCGAGAAAAACCAGGACAATGGGCATGAGGTCCGACTACTTCAGAGATAAAACTGACTGGCATGAACTAAAGTGAGACCAGGTGCTGGCCATGAGTGACTTGGGGCGGTTGAGTAAATGGCCAGAGTCACAGTAAGCAAAGATGGAGATGGAGATGGAAAAATTCGAATTAGAAGCAAGGGGACGTTTTGTCTTAAAACATATGGTTTAACCTGAAACTAAGTAGACTCACTGGCGCCACTGTTGTAGGGAAGTCAGTGCAAAAGATAGGTTCGACGAGGAGATAGCGCTAATGCATAGGGTCAGACAAACATCATGCTGGAACCAAAACCAGGACAATGGGCATGAGGTCCGACTACTTCAGAGATAAAACTGACTGGCATGAACTAAAGTGAGACCAGGTGCTGGCCATGAGTGACTTGGGGCGGTTGAGTAAATGGCCAGAGTCACAGTAAGCAAAGATGGAGATGGAGATGGAAAAATTCGAATTAGAAGCAAGGGGACGTTTTGTCTTAAAACATATGGTTTAACCTGAAACTAAGTAGACTCACTGGCGCCACTGTTGTAGGGAAGTCAGTGCAAAAGATAGGTTCGACGAGGAGATAGCGCTAATGCATAGGGTCAGACAAACATCACATATGGAATTGAACTTGTGGAAGAGGCAAACCAAGGGTGCAGCAGAAAACCGGATTGGTCGAATCTGAAAGAATGTTTCATCGGGCTAGAATGGACTCGCCTCAAAGGTGGTCAGGGTCAGGTGAAAAATTTTCTCGTAGGTGCAATCACAGGCTGGAGTGGGCGATAGGTTGCGGTCACAACGCCGAAGAAGGTAGTCACGGGAGTGCCACCACACTGGGTATGGTGGTGCCGTGCCACCATTGTACCGATATACTTCTGTTTTTGGACAGCCCCGTAACGGTCGTCAAGGATGCCGTGCCACGTACCGATATACTTCTGTTTTTGGACAGCCCCGTAACGGTCGTCAAGGATGCCGCAACCGGAGAGGAGATGAGCATTTCCTTCCGAGTCGGATATGAGATAGGCGGGAAGGTTGGAGCCAGGCCGATGCCACCAATGATGAACACGGGCCAATATTTATGCAAACCGATGAACAGGAGGTCTCAGCCTTACACACAAACGTAATCCAACTGCAAAAGGCGATCGTCTTACTCATGAGTGCACGCGATAGTGACTACCCTGGCTGTTGTTTGAAACTGTTGGGCTACTGCCAATATGGGAAGCTGATAATTAGGCCTCCGCAATGCAATTTATCCTAATCTAACGGCCAACGACAGCCCATCATACCCATATCCGTAGTCACTGTCTCTCGCATCGCCGATACAAGCACGATACAGGGCACGCTCGGCCGGGACTCCATGAACCGATCGAGGTCGACACCAAAGCAGGCCCCATTGGCTGACTGATTGATAGACTGAAGGCTACGTTTGCGCGACGGAACGGCAGCTAAGGGAAATGGTTTAAAGGAAACGTGAGCACTCACCTGGTGGACGCATTTGAAGATTTTCTCCACACAGTAGGCAAGGTCCGTTGCCGCAGCGGTAACGGTGATACACTAGTCGATCTCGCGGACATCGGCAATCAGCAGGGTCAGTTGGCTGGCCTTGGAGACCACAGGGAACAGCGTCCGTTGAAGTAGGTTGGGCGCGGTTTTTCTCCAACACCAGGGGTTGACTGTTCTGCGAACTAGCTGGATTTGGACGCAACACCAGCTGCGTTTGGACACTCAGATACTTCATGCATCTAGCAGGCTCACTTGGTTCCGCAAGCTCCAGCTTGTCGACCAACCATTCTAGCCGCTTGTGCAAACACTCTACTGGTGATAGCTGTGGCTTTGGAACCAGAGGTAGCGGTAAACGTCCTTCTCGTATGTTGTATAAAGTAAGCCACCGTTGATAGATTGGAAATTGACCTGGGCATTTTCTGATTAATCAGCTTACCGCAGGGGCACTTGTGGAGTCTGAGTACCGAGAATAGATGTACACAGGATCGCCGAATAGTGTGCCCGTACTCATTCTGGTAGAGGTGTCAACCGTCCGAGAACGTTTCGGGGTTTGTACCACAAATTGGCTGTTACTAACAACGGGTTCCTCACCTTGAGGCGATCTGTTCGATGGCATATCAGAGTTGGAGTGCACATATCAATGTGCCTTATAACTTGATTAGCGGCGTATGTCATCACCCAGAAAACCACATGTGGAATGCAGCTGTCTCCCTCGCGGATTTCTCTCCATTCGTAGTAATAATCTGTAGGCACCTAACGCTCGCACATGAACCCTCCGCTGAGCTAAGGAACCTTCTAGATGGCGTGCTCCAGGCTCTCGGCGTGCGCCTGGTCAAACTCCATTTGGCTTTCTCCTGGCTGTTTTTGGTCACATTCCCAAATTTTATCAACCTACGCTGTGCATGAATGACCTATTTTCGAGCGAAGTACGGTCGGTGAGGAGTCAAATAGAAGAAAAACCCGGGATCGATCCTCCGCTGGATCTGCAAATCGTGGTGAAGACTAGGTGATTAATGTTCGGTGCACAGCCACTTAATCCGCTTCGATAT